AGGCTCAGGGGTCCAAGATTATCTTCTGTGTCTGTGTTAATTGGTTTCCCTTTTCTTTGTTGAAGAGGGTCTATGCAATCCTTCTGCCTAGTCCGCCATGTTGCCGGAACTCCTCTTTCATTATCTTTTATTCTATTTTCTTTTAAAAACTAGTTTTATATTTTCTTAAATTGTTGGATATAAACAAGCGAAGAGGAGGATCAAGATCAACAGCCCAAGGCTGAATCCTATGAGGCAAAGATCAGGCATGCCTCACTCCTCCAATTTTTTTTTTTTTTAAACCAGTTCTGACACCAACTGCCCCTCCTACAACAGTCTTTACTTCTCTCTTGGGTTCAATAATTTGTTCCAATGGCCACAGAGAACTCACATACCATACTTATATTTAAGTAGTTTATTAAGGAAGCAACAGGTTACATACAATTCAGGATCAGAATTCTTCAGTTCCAGTTTTCTTCAATCAGAACAGCCTCTTTTCAGCAGTGCCCATATACACTTCTCTCTCTGGCCTTCAGCCTCTCAGCCAAGTGGTTCTTTGGCCTTGCCCTGCTTAAGCAAGTGTTACAAACCTTTTTCAGCTATGGCAATGATAAGTGCTCAGAATAACCCATTCTGCCAAGCACACCTCCTGTGCGAAGGCACTCAGCTTTTGCTCCATGATCCAGGAAGCCCACCATTCTGTTTCACACCACTCTTTTAGTTCTGCTACTTCTCTTTTTCTGCCATTGCTTTTTATCATCTCTCACCGCCTCTAATGTCACAGCTATTTGTCTTCTGTATCCAGGAGGTTCAGCACTGGGATTTCAGGTTCAAAGGATGCACTCCACTCCTGGCTCTTCTTTCTTGATGGTTGGAAGATCTTCTTCCGCCTCTGAGATGGCTCATTTAAGTCTAGCAGGATGGCAAAACTGACCAACCCCCACATTATGGTTCCATACCCCTTATTTGCATGGTCCTAACCCCACATGGATGCCATGTACCCAATTTACATTATTAGCAAGCTATCCAATCCCCTTCATGGGCCAAAAGCACTTCACAGTTATACAGTCCAACCCAGTCATCTGGTGCGGGGTTACAAAGACTATTACTAAAAGGGTCATATTATGTAATTCACTGTGTCACACTGGACCTTTGGTGTTTTTAATTCTTATTTCTTCTAGTAATTATTATACTATTTGTCTTTCTCCTCAATATTCTTAATGCTTTTTTTTACCTTCTTTCAACTTCAATATTTAAACTTTGTTTCTCTTAACCATTTACTTTACCAGTATATTTTCTCTTTTATTATTAATATTATCTTAAATAGAAAAAAATTAAACCATCTTGGCAGGAAGCTCAGCTATATGTTGTTGTTGTATACTGTCGAGTCGGCCCCGACTCATAGTGACCCCTCCTTGGGTTTCCGAGGCAGTATCACTACGGAAGTAGGATTGCCCAACCTTCCTTCCGAGGAGTGGCTGGTGGGTTTGAACCTCCAGCCTTCTGGTTAGCAGTCAAGTGCTTTAGCCACTATGCTACCAGAGCTAGAAATCCAACTCCGTAACAGGGAAAAGTTGTCTCTACACAGTTGCTTCTCTAACTTACTCTCATATTTTCTCAACCCTTTAAATTATGATTTCTAAAAATTTCAATGAAGACAATTAGAGTAAAGTTCATATCCATGCAAGTACAGTTTGCTTCAAAGGGAGTAATTTTCTGGCAAGTTAGAGATATCATGATACGTCTCTCCTCTTAAAATATACTATGAATTCTTCTGAGTGTTGTATAGAGAAAATCTGATGTCCTGAGAATAACTAAGAAGTATTCATAAAAACGATAATGAATGTCAGTTATCTGGTATGTAAGTTATTACAGAACATGGAGGAATTTAAACAATTTACCAAAAATACTATTTCCCCTATATTACTTTAGTTTTGTGTATTTCACTGTACATAAATTATACTTCAATAAAATGTATTTTTTAAAAAAACACTCTATTTCCCTACTTCGATCTAACAAAAAATGCATTAAAGAGGGAGGAAAAAAAAAATCAATCGCATTCACCCTGGAATATTACTGAGACATGCCAAGTAACAGTAGCTGGGTAGCACTTTGTTTCAAATTGGCTTTTAAAGCAAATAATCTTTGAGTAATGAAAGGAAAGGTAAGCTATCAGAATATGGAATCAATATAGGCATACAAGATATCCCTGCTTCTTGCCCTTAAAAAGAAAAAATTAAAATCAACAAGTAAAAAAAAAAAACCCAGCTATAATTTTTTAAAGAAATAGAAATCTGGTGACTTTATTCTCCTTTTAAAGGCATGAGCAGAAATGTTTAATTAACCTAAACCCCATTGCTGTCAAGTCGGATCCAACTCATAGCAACCCATCCTTCGGTTTCCGAGGCAATATCGCTACAGAAGTAGATTGCCCAATCTTCCTTCTGAGGAGCAGGTGGTGGGTTTGAAACGCCGACCTTCTGGTTAGCAGTCAAGTGCCTTAGGGACTACGCCACCAGAGCTCCCTTAATTAACCTAATGACGAAAATTTCGTTCCTATCATTCTGTAACTCTCATTTTTATGGGGTTACATTTACCTTTAACCATAATTATTTTAGGGCAATATTTAACAAGTACAATGTAGATACAGAGCTGAAAAATATACATATATATAATGAAATAACAACAAAAAATACCTTAAGTGGGTCGGCTAGCTCTGATAGCTGATTAATTTTCAATTTAATTGCATCATACTTGTTTTCTGCTTCAATTTTCACACTTTTAAGAATCTCCATCTTTTCTTTTTGTTGCTCCATATTATTCTCAACCAGTTTCATTTTGCTTTTATTTTCTTGAGCTTCATCTTCCTGTTAACATTAACAGAACAGTAAGAATTAATTAAATCTTAAGTAATCAAATAGAAAAACAATAAGCAACTCTGAGAGAGAAGAAAAGATAGGCTACAGGCAAATCAGATCAAAGAAAAAAACTTTAACTCGTATGAGAAACCAAGACAATAGATGAGGCAGAAAAGGAAACTCAAAAGGTATTTTGTGAATATATAATTTCTGGTAAATAAGTCCACTAACTTATTAAGTCTTGAATATAAAAAAAAGTTAATAGTATTCTGTAAATCTATATATAACACTGAAGTGTGAAGTGTGAAATATCAAAATACAACTACAAAGAACACTATTATTTTATATACCCTTAATGGAAAATTAGGAAGTAGACTAAAACAGATACAAAATTAAAAGAATGACATTTTAGAGAAAAATTTTAAAGTATTAAAAAGTTTTTTAAAATATTATACTTGAGGTCATATTTCTTTTATTCCATCTACTCATTTTTCATTCGAAATGTATCTACTGTATGTGAATATATATATTGTGCTACAGTATATATAGGTATCATATGAACAAAAACAAATAAGACAGTCCTTATCTTTCAGAAATTCAGTTTACCAATAAAAAGAATAAAATCAGAAACAGAAAGAGGAAAATAAGGCCACCAAAGAAAAATGAAGACAAATTCTCATTACGTTAAAATTCCATCAAAGCAGGGATTTCTATCACTTTTATTTGTTGCTAATAAATATGGTGCCTGGCACAGAGTAGACAATCAATAAATATTCATTTTAACAACACTCTACAATCTATCTAATTCATTATTTACTGCAACTCAGAGCCACTGAGCTATATATCATCAATTGATGGCTAAAACAAACAAAACAACAGAAATCAACAAGTATGTACTGAATTAAAATGAATATCATTAACTTGCGGAAAAAAAGAGAACAACTATGATTAACTGGAAAATGGTATCCACATCTTTGTCTATTAAAAGCAATTAACTCTGAAAGCACCTAATGTATGCTACGCAATGTGGTTTGATGGCCAATTGAAGACAAATATTAGGCATGCAAGCAATACATACAAAATATTAAGGAATATGAAAGCTATATACCAGGTAGTTTCTTCCGAATTTATGAATGAAAATAACAATCCTAAAGATTAGCTTCAATTAAAAGGATTTTTCAAAAAGCTAAGAGTAAATGCCATTAACTTTACTAAAGGATAATTTTATCCTTTAACATTACATTTAAGTTAGAGAAAAACATCTTACCAAGGTTGCAATATCTACTGACTGGTGTTCTTCTATATTCTCAAGTTCCCTAATTTCAGAAAAACTTTTTCTTATTTTCATCTAAAAGAGAAAGATTTTTAGTACCATAAAAACAAATAAAAGACAAAAGGAAAACCTTGGAAAAGATAATATTAATCCACAATATTCTACATGCTATGTGATACAGAAAAGTTTTGTTATCAACAAAAAGGGCATATTAGTACTATTAAAAAAACCAAAGGATGTTCTGTATTAACTCATGGATCACTTTTACTGCTAATCCACCTCCATGCAAAGAAAGAAGTAATTCATTTTAGCATTTAAAATGATGACGATGCTGGGTACAGAAAATATTATTTTTGAACCACCTCAAAGTTATGAATTATGTAGAGATTAATCCAGCAGTTCTTCAAGTGCAATCCAAGTACACACTAAGGGATTTTTAAGACCTTTTAGGGGTCTGTGAGTTCAAAACAATTTTTATAAAAACACTAAGACATTATTCATCATTTTTATTCTCATTTTCTCATAGGAATATGTTGTTATTGTTGTTAGGTGGCATCAAGTCAGCCCTGATTCGTAATGACCCAATATGCAACAGAAAGAAACACTGCCCGGTCATGTGCCATCCTCGTACAGCCTGCTGTACCCTCGCCCATCTTTTCAGCCACAGTGCCAATCCAAATGAGAGTCATTCCCTTTTTCGCTGACCCTCCACTTTACCAAGCATGGTATATTTTTCTCCAGGGACTGGTCCCTTCTGACAACATGACAAAAGTAGGTGAGATGAAGTCTAGCCATTCTCACTTCCAAGGAGCATTCTAGCTGCACTCCCTTCAGGACAGATTTGTTAGTTCCTTTGGCAGTCGATGGTACTTTCAGTATTCTTCACCAACACCACATTAAAGAACATCAACTCTTCTTCAGTCTTCCTTAACCATTCAGCTTACACATGGATATGAAGTAAATGAAAATACCATGGCTTGGGATAGGTACACCTTAGCCTTCAAAGTGACATCTTGACTATTCAACATTTTAATGAGGTCTTTTGCAACAGATTTGCCCAGTGCAATATGTTGTCTGATTTCTTCACGGCTGTTTCCATGGGTGTTGACCTGTAATAATATAAAATTGACCCAAGTAATATAAAATCTTCAACAACTTAAATCATTTCTCCATTTATCATGACACTGCTTATTTGTCCATTTGTCACAATTTTCCTTTTCTTTATGTTCAGGTGTAATCCATAATGCAGACAACAGTCTTTAATTTTCATCAGTAAGTGCTTCAAGTCATCTTCACTTTTCAGCAAGCAAGGTTGTATCATCTGCATATCGCAGGTTGTTAACGGGTTTTCCTCCAATCCTGATGCCACACTATTCTTCATATAGTCAAACTTCTTGGATTATGTGCTCAGCATACAGACTGAATAAGTATGGTGAAAGGATACAACCCTGTTGCACACCCTCTCTGATTTTAAACCATGCAGTATCCTCTTGATCTGACTGAACGACAGCCTCCTGGTCTATGTACAGGTTCCTCGTGAGCACAACTGAATGTTCTGGGATTCCCATTCTTCTCAATGTTATCCATAATTTGTTATTATCTGCACAGTCCAATGCTTCTGCACAGTCGATAAAACACAAGTCAACATCTTTCTGGTATTCCATGCTTTCAGCCAAGATCTATCTCACATCAGCTATGATAGCCCTTATTCCATGTCCTCTTCTGAATCCAACTGGCATTTCTGCAAGTTCCTGATTAGTATCCTGCTGCAACTGTTTCTGAATTATCTCAGTTAAGATTTTACTTGCATGTGATATTAATGTATTGTTCAATAATTTCCACATTCTGTTGGATCGTCCTTCTTAGGAATGGGTACAAATATGGATCTTTTCCTATCAGTTGGCCAGGCAGGTGTCTTCCAAATCTCTTAACATAGCCGAGTGACTTCCTCCAGTGCAGCATCTGTTTGTTGAAACATCTCAATGGGTATTCTTTCAATACCTGGAGCTTTGTTTCTTGCCAATTCCCTCAGTGCAGCTTTGACTTCTTCCTTCAAGACCATTGATACTTGATCATATGCCACTTCCTGAAATAGCTGACCATCAACCAATTCTTTCTGGTATAGTGACTCTGTGTATTTGTTCCATCTTCTTTTGATGCTTCTTGGATCATTTAATATTTTGCTCTTAGAATTTTTCAACATTGTAACTTGAGGCTTGAATTTTTTCTTCAGTTTTTTCAACTTGAGAATGCTTAGCATATTCTTCCCTTTTGGTTCCTAACTCCAGGGCTTTGCACGTTTCATTACGATAACTGACTTTGTCTTCGTGAGCCGCTCTTTGAAATCTTCTGTTCTGCTCTTTTATCTTCTCATTTCTTCCATTTGCTTAAGCTACTCTCTCTGTTCATGAACAAGTTTTAGAGTCTCTACTGACATCCATTTTGGTCTTTTTTTCCTTTCTTGTCTTTTTAATAACCTTTTGCTTTCTACATAGATGATGTTCTTGATGTCATCCCATAACTCATCTGGTTTTCATTCACTGGTGTTCAATGTGTCAAATCTATTCTTCAGATGGTTTCTAAATTCAGTGGTGTATAATCAAGGTCATATTTTGGCTCTCATGGACTTATTTTAATTTTTTTTAGCTTCAACTTGTACTTACATAAGAGTAATTGATGGTCTTTTCCACAGACAGCTCCTGGCCTTGTTTTAGCTGAAGATAATGAGCTTCTCCTCCATCACTTCTTTCCACAGATGCTGTCGATCTGATTCTTGCATAAACCATAATATACGGGTCATGTATATAGCAGCTGTTTGTGTTGTCAAAAAAAGGTATCTACAGTGAGTAAGTTGTTGGTCTTGCAAAAATCTATCATGCAATCTCCGGTGTCATTTCTATCACCAATGCCTTGTTTTCCAACTACTGGTAACTATTCTTTGTTTCCAACTTTCTCATTCCAATCACCAGTAATAATCATACATCTTGACTGTATGTTTGATCAATTTCAGACTGCAGAAGTTGGTAAAAACTTCAATTTCCTCATCTATGGCTTTAGTAGTTGGTGCGTAAATTTGAATAGTAGTAGTATTAACTGGTCTTCCTTATAGGCATATGAATATGCCTGACAGCACTGTACTTCAGTACTTATTTTGAAACATTCTTTGTGATGATGAATATGGCATCATTCCTCTTTAATTTGTCCCTCCTCACATAGTAGATCATATGGTTTTCTGATTCAAAATAGCCAAAACCAGTCCATTTCAGCTCACTAAGGCCTAGGGTAGGAGCTCTGGTAGCATAGTGGCTAAGACACTTGCCTGCTAACCAGACGGCTGGCGGTTCAAACCCATCAGCCACTCCTCGGAAGGAAGGTTGGGCAATCCTACTTCCGTAGTGATACTGCCTCGGAAACCCAAGGAGGGGTCGCTATGAGTCGGGGCCGACTCGACGGCAAATAACAACAACAACAACAACAAGGCCTAGGATATTGATCTTTACATGTTCCATTTCATTTTTGACAACTTCCAATTTTCCTACATTCATAGTACATTGCACGCTCCGACTATTTATGCATGTTTGGAGGTGTTTCTTCCCATTTTGAGTCGTACCCCATCAGCAAATGGAAGTCCTGAAAGCTTTACTCCATTCACATCATTAAGGTCAGCTTTATTTTAAGGAGGCGGTTCTTCCCTAGTTGTACTTTGCGTGCTTTCTGACCTGAGGAGCTCATCTTCCTTCCCTATACCAGACAATGTTTCACGGCTATTCATAAAATTTTCCAGCAATGTATTAAACAATGTTTCACTGCTATTCATAAAGTTTTCACAGGCCAATTCTTGGAGAAGTAAATGGCCCCTTCCTTCTTCTGAGTCTGTCTTAGTCTGGAAGTTCTGCTGAAACCTGTCCACCATAGGTGACCCTGCTGGTATTTGAAATATCAGTGGCACAGCCTCCAGTCTCACAGCAACATGCAAGCATGCAAGCCATCACAGTATGACAAACTGAGAGATGAGTGGTGGCATAAGAACGTTGCTGTTGTTGTTGTTGTTATATGCCGTCGAGTCGGCCCCGACTCATAGCGACCCCTCCTTGGGTTTCCGAGGCAGTATCACTACGGAAGTAGGATTGCCCAACCTTCCTTCTGAGGAGTGGCTGGTGGGTTTGAACCGCCAGCCTTCTGGTTAGCAGTCAAGTGCCTTAGGCACTATGCTACCAGAGCTCCTTATATAAGTGTTTTATAACTATATTATGTATAATATTGGTATAGGCTGAATGTAGAAACTGACATAAGAATTCAGTTGAATTTAATTAAGCCACATATTAAAGAGATAAAAATATATAAAAAAAATGCCAGTAATTATTTTGTTCTGAAAGTCACTTTTCATAAAAAAAAAATACATGATCAAAATGCATTTAGCATCATTATTTAATATTTTAAATCTGTTTTAATTATTAATAATATAAATAGTGATAGATACAACCCATATAATTAAAAGCTTTATTAAGAGTGTAAAACGGCTAGAGACCATAAAGTTTTAGAATGATCACTTTAACTAAATAAACATCAAAATCTTAAAAAAAAGAAAGCTTGGGAGTATTAAGTTGAGAAAAAGAAAATGTTTTACTTATATTTTACCTTTAACTCTTTATAATGGAATTGGCATCTTTTAAGAAGTTCTTCATTGCGTTTAATATCCTTTTCAAGGGCAAACAAATGTTGCTGAAGATTTAGTATTTGGGCTTTCTTATTTTCAACATCATTCTCCAAGTGGCTTGGTAAAGAGGAAAAGATAAAAAATGTATCTACTTCTAAATATTACAAATATTTATGATCAAACAAAACAAAATTTACTAGTAGTAATTTATATGCAAAATCCTATTCTGGGAAACTAGTTCTATAACCTTACCAAGTTGCTGATAATATAAACAATGTATTACAAAGATTTCCAAAATAATCTTCTAAACTGAAGTTTTACATATTTTATTAACAAATATTTATAATATGATCTCTATGTGCTAAACATTGCACATAGATGTAGAGAGAGAATTGAGACATGATTCGCTAAAAGGAAACAAACCATACAAGTTAAATGTTAGACTATGGGCCTTAGAGCCTTTAAGCTAGGAACTGAACTTAGTCAACATGACTCTACTGGCAGCCAAAGGTGAACAGTAATATCAGGAGGATATGCACTCATTAGAATGAAAAGGACAGCATTTGCCCAAGAACAGAGCTAATAAGGCAGCTGGGGACAGGAAATAAGAATGAAGGGAAGGGGTGGGGGCAGGGAGAAATTAGGATGAATGCTGTTACAGTGTAGGGACTGCAGTAAACTTCACAAAACAGAATGTATATGGTATGCTGAATGGAAAACTAATTTGCTCTGTAAACTTTTACCCAAATCACAATTAAAAAAAAAAAAGTTAAATGTGAAAGAACATTTTACATTATGCTATATGTCCATAATATTATATAAACATATATAATATTATATAAACTGAACTGCAACATTTTCATCATCTGGACAAACTAAGGGAAAAGATGGAAAGAAATACACAAAGGCACAGGGGATTAAAACAGAATAAAAACGTCAGTCAGCTCAGTATTTATTGTTGGCAGAATGTTAAGAACATGAGGGGAGTCAGAGAGAGGAGAACAATGAAAAAAGATGAGAATAAAGATAAAGTAAGCAGATGGCAAAGCCACAATGGGCCTTCTACGCCAGCAAAGTCAACAGTGACTTTTTCCTGCCTCAATGATTCAAGCACCTGTCTTCCAAAGCTGTGTGCCTGATGAAGAGAACTTGTGTAGGTAAGAAAAACTTTTCTCCAGCCAAGCATATATGTATATCACTAAAACGCACATCTCCCCACATTCTAACATTTCTAAAATAATTTTCCAGCCTACAGTTCAATTAGCATTCTTTTTTCTCATATAGATAAAGTAGAGGATCTTAAATTGATGAAATACTTTAACTGCACTACTACTGTATTTTACACAAGTAACACGTTATATGTTTCTTTCAAACCACACAACCCCCTAGTGTAAGTTTCTCATGCGTATTATATGCATCTGCCCTTTATTTCCATGGCACATTATATGTGATATAATACTTTGCTAGATTTTTGTATGTTAAGAAAAAAGTTCAATGTTGGCTGAATGAATGAGAAATAAATGATAAAGTAGGGAAACAAAAACAGTTATGGTACTCTTGAAAGAATGGAGTCAGATGAAAAATTTAACACAGGAGTTTAGTCTTATTTCTGGATATAAATATATACTTTTAGTAACAATCAACTAGTAATTTTGCCACAGGAAATTAAAAAAACAAGTATTTATGGTAGAGGCTTTGATATTTAAAGTCTAGACCATAAATAAAAGCCAACGAAATGAGTAAAGACAACATTCTACCTTCAAACTTTTTCATAACGCATAAAGCAGAAAACACAGCACCAATTCTTCATGCTGGGACTATCAAGAGGCCAAAGCCTTTACACCCAGTTGCCTTGGGGCACCAAAATGAAAGGCAGATTGGAATTCAAAGTGAAGTAGTAGTGAGCTGCATCCAATCTGCCATCTTTCTGGAATGATGCAACTCAAAGTACCAGTTAGACAGAAGAGGAACTTGAGTCAAAATGTAAACCAGTATATCAGTACCCTCACTGAAAGAAATGAGAAGAACTAAACAGTAGGCATAGTGATGTAGCTGATTCACATTCTGAGCTAAGTGTGTTTTTGCAGACAGGTAGAAAATCATGGGGAGATGAACTACTTCAGGGAACACATTTTGAGTAGCACCATTCTAAAATATTCTCAGTCCAGAATACTGTCATCAAAGTGATGATGGAAAATGTGAATCTGGAGTTACACATTCAGCTATAAGATCTTTGAAGACAAACCGCTGAGATAGATTATTCAGTTTTTCACTGAAATAACTACGAGAGTAGGTAATACGGAAGAAACTGAACCCTGAAGGAAGCAGTAGAAGTAATATCCAAACCAAACCCAAACCCATTGCCATTAGGTCAATTCCAACTCATAGCAATCCTCACTGGGTTTCCAAGGCTATAATTCCTTACAGAAGTACATTACTTCATCTTCCTCCCACAAAGCAGCTGGTGGGTTTGAATCACCAACTCTGAGTTAGCAGTCAAATGCTTTAACACACTATGCTACCAAAACAAAAAAACAATACATTATCATCAAGTTGATTCCGACTCATAGCAACCTCTGCTGGGTTTCCAAGGCAGTGAATCATTATGGAAGTAGACTCTCCCATCTTCCTTCCGTGGAACAGCTGGTGTATTTTGTGGTGCAGTAAATTACTTTGTATGGCTTCTCTAGCCAGTCTTTGTGACTCCCACCATATTACTAGGTGAGACCATGCAAATAAGGTTATGGAACTCTAATTTGAGAATTGGTTGGTTCTACTATGCTGCTGGGCTTAAAATGAGCACTCCTGGAGGCAGAAACTGGGATCTTACTGCCATCAAGAGAGAAGAACCAGAACTGGAGTGGTGCACATCCTAGACCCAAAATCCCTGCACGGGACGGAAAGATGGCAGAGACAACCAGCTGAGGAACCAAGAGGCATGAGACACAGAGGCAGGCTTGTCAGCCCATAGAGTAAGAAAGATGAGTGCCTTTAGGCATGACGCTTACTGGTGGAGTGGGGTGCAACTAGTTGTACCTATTGGCAGAGTTAAAAAGGACTTTGTAACACTTGCCCAAGCAGGGAAAAGGCCAGGTCCACAGGTCAAGGGGACAGGGAGGCGTGCCTGAGGGCATGTTGTTGATGTTATCTGCCGTTGAGTCGGATCTGACTCATAGCGACCCCTCCTTGGGTTTCTGAGGCAGTATCACTACGGAAGTAGATTGCCCCATCTTTCTTCCGAGAAGTGGTTGGTAGGTTTGAACCACCAGTCTTCTGTTTAGCAGTCAAATGCCTTAAGCACTACACCATCAGAGCTCCCTATAATGTAACATAGTGAAGCTAAAACTTGATACCAACCTTATTTCAGAATCCAGATCTCTGGTTAGGAACTTAGGTCTTGTATTTTCAGAGGAGTAATAGCGTCCAGGAAAAACTTGATCACCATCAGCAGTAAATGCTTCTCTACAATTCTTAGGTGGCTTTTGGGACTGCATTACTGTACGAGCTACAGAGTTATTCTAAAGGAAAAGGGGAAAAATAAATTTAAAAAATTATGCCAAAGTATTTGGAATGCACACAATTTCAAAATATTACCTATGCTTATTATTTTAAGATCATGTATTTTTATTTAAACATTCAAATGAAATAACTCCATGAAGTTAAAGAATTTAAAAAACTTTCAATATCCAAAGAATAGATGCTATTAAAAAATTCTTTAGAATAACTTATTCAACAATGTTAATCTTTCCTGACAAACTGATCACTTTTATTTTTAAATTCTAGTATTGCTATTTAAATACATTTTAAAAAGTATTTTGAATACCTTTCTACATAAAAAAATATGTACTTCAGACCAGTTCATAACACATCTTACTTTTAAAAAATGACTTTCATATATGCTAGAAAAGAGATTAGTCCCCTGAATTATGTAAAGGAAGGCTGGAAATACTTAAGGCCTGTATAAAGTAAAAAGGGGATTAGGCTTAATCAAGGACAACTAACATTCTCTAGGGAAAGAACTTTACAACAGAACTTCATTATTTTGTTTGAAGTACTGTTCTTAAACATGAGAGCCAAAACCAGAAACAATTATAACATCAACTTCCAATACATGGTATTTTAGATTATCAATACTATTACTCGTTCCTTTCTACTAATGAGAAAAACAGATTTATTATGTTGTTCTGCAGACAGATTTGTTTTCAAGCTTCCTGTTGCTTCTTAGCAAAATTCTGCCAATTGATCAAATTTAATATGGTGACCTAATCAAACAAGTATATAAAAATTTAAACACAAATGTAGAATAAGTATTGATTTATCTTACAGAGCTCAAAGTTGTAAGAAAAAGAATCCATAAAATACCAAAAAAAAGTACTTCTTTTTAAAAGTAGAGTAACATATGCATCTGCAAGGTCAAATAATGATGGATTTGGCAGTCAATCAAGTAAGAATGAATATTTTATAGCACCATACATGAAAAAAAAAACATCCATTTGTGAAATTACTGTATGAAAAACAGTCAAAAGTAATAAAGTTCTGTGGGGCAGAAAAAGCATAAACCAATCAGTTCTACAAAAATTATTCCACAGATTTTTTAAGAGGTAAAATTCAATAATGAGACAAATCAACAAGTCTATGATAAAGAAAGGAGCTCTGGTAGCATAGTGCCTGAGGCACTTGACTGCCAGCCAGAAGGCTGGCAGTTCAAACCCACCATCCACTCCTCGGAAGGAAGATGGGGCAATCTACTTCTGTAGTGATACTGCCTTGGAAACCCAAGGAGGGGTTGGAAACCCAAGGAGGGGTCAGAAACCCAAGGAAGGGTGGCTATGAGTCGGGTCCGACTCGACAGCACATAACAACAACAACAACATGATAAAGAAAGAAGAAAAATTTATATAACCATCATCAGCTTTAAAAATTTAAAAATAACACATAGCAAGTATCTGGGCTTACTTTGATTAGCAGCACTGTCTCTATGCGCTTCATGTCAATTAGACTATTAGCAACAACTGCATTATCTATTTCTAATGCAGTCAGAACTGTTGGAAATTCTGGGTGATAAGCAGCTCTAGAGGACAAAAATATGTAAGGGTTAATTTACCAAATATTTATTTTATACACACTCATACGGATATATATTTTTAATGGGTGATATTGTAGATAATAGTTTATAAATAATAAGATCATGGGGGAAAATCTGACACTTAGCAAACATTACATAATGCTATGTGTCAGGTTCTGTTCAAATATTAATTCATTTGATCTTCAAAACAACCATATAAGATAAATACTGTCATTCTCTCCATTTTTTTCAGATAGGAAGCTTCAGAGAGTTTAGGTTCATAAAGCTTAAAGGTTACATGAAGGTTACAATTTAAAGCAGGCAGCTAAGCTCTAGAACCCAGACTCATAACATTATACCTCTTGCATGTTATAAAATTAACAATTTTCTTAAACCTTATACTACTATCATACATAAGAGTAAATTAATTAAAATAAACTTTAAATAGTTAAACAATTTTCCCACTGATATGAGACAAGAAAAACAACAGAAGTAAAGAGAACTCTCATTACAGAGGAAAGAAGAGAGACAAGATATTCTTATGAATTATAATATGGGGTTCCTTCACAGAACATTCAATCTTTCCAATAAAAGATTTAAACAACTGAACTGAAGAATGTACACACTAAATATACATTTCACCAAGTGAAACAAAGTACTAAAGAATGTACACACCATGAATAAAAGGTATAGGAGCAATGAATGTCTATGAAGCAATGGTGGAGACATTCTTAGTGTTTTCTTAGTCCTAGAATTCTAAAACAACTAAAATATCTGTATGTGTATGTATTTTTAATTATTCATTCAATTAGTTCAACAGGTATTTACTGAGTTCCAAGTACCATTCTAGAAGATGAACACACATTTTATCAAAGGGAGACAGATAATGAAAAAGAAAAAAGGGGAAAGTGGCATATTGTCCTTTTTTACACAAAAAAAGCCAGGTAAAGTTCACAAAGACGACACCAAGCAGACAGCTGAGGAAATGAGAAAGTCATATAGGCATTTTATATAGAGGGAACAGCAATTGAAAAGGTCCTGAAAAAGGGCTATTAGAGAAGCCAGGAGGCCAGTGAGCTGTGACGGACATTCTATGCTGCCTGGCTGGCTCTTTAACTTCATTAATGCCTTTTTCCCAAGCCTTCACTTTCTTTCTTACCTACTCCAAAACTCATGGCCAATCTGTGAACTATTCTCTCATCAGCACCCTCAATTCCCTCCCCTTCTCTTCTCCTTCTGTAATGCCCATAATCCATTCTAAAAATGGATAATGTTGTATTCATCCAACACAATCAACTTTCTCCACTCACATCTATAAAATAAACAATCATTAGTAGTGAAAAATCCTGCTACTACCATACCAAAAACCGAAAGCAAACCCACTGCTATTGAGCTGACTGACTCACAGCGACCCCCATTGGGTTTCCAAAGCTGTATAAATCTCTGCAGAAGTAGATTGCCTCATCCTCTTCCCATAGAGCAGCTCAAATCTTATGTGGACTTTGGGTCACTTCCCTCTCTCATTCTCCTTAGCAACTATTCTAAACTTTTATGTAGGATTATTTCCAAATATCCCACTTAACTTAAGCTATCAATTTCAGAACATGAACTCATCTATTTTAATTTGGCTAAATTTGCATCATTTCCCTTATCAGTGTAACTTCTGTGTCATATTATGTCTGTTTACCTGTGGTGTCTCCTACAATAGACTGTAAGTAGTTCAAGGCAGGGATTACATCTTATTCATCTATGTACCTCCAATGCCTTGAACCAGTACCTAGACTGAAATTAAAAAAGTGACTTGATGAAATCTTATAAATCAGTAGTATACATATGATTAACATTAAAAATGTTCTAATTCTAGCTGACCCTTCACATGATTAAGCAAAATCAGAAACAGAATTTATTTAAGCACAGATGCCTACCTGTGTCTTACATCATATATCTCATTTCGAAACTCAGAAACTATTATTTGCGGCCTTGAGGTCCCTGGTGCATAAAACCGTTTCATCAGTGCCTGAAGTACTCTTTCATCAGCATGATTATGACAACAATAGGCTTGAAGAAGTCCTGTTAAGCAGGATTCAATAGCTAAAGCAAGTTCAGGGTCTCGAAGGTGAATGCATGCTCCTAAATGAGAGAAAATTATACTGGGGTTCATAAACATTACAAATATTAATGTAATTACCTTATTATAATATTTCATTAATGATTTCAAATATTTTCATAAAAAGTAGCTGAAAGGATATTACAGATCTTATTTTAAGTGACTGGGAAACCTCAACATGCCCACCGGATACACTAGCCTACCAAATCCTGTGAAATCGTTTCTCTCATTTCTAAGTAAATCAACAACAGGGTAGTAAGTGTATACTACGTAGACTCTCCACGCTGTTTTGAAAATCAAGTAAAAATATTTGCAGACTTTTTATTATTTTCTCTAAAACTGATTAATAATAGGATTTTAGATTTAAAGATTAAAAAAAAAAAAAAACCTCATCTATTTAAATGGAACTTGATATATATATAAATTTATTTCACTTGAAAGATGAGAAACTACAAGAACTCTTAAATACAGCACTTCACTAACAAATCATTTCTCTACAACATCATTTTCACCTAAACAATATACAGGAGTAGAAATAAACTCCAACATCACCTGATTAAAAACTTCTTTTTAATCTCATGTATACATGGGAATACTTAAATAACCACAGATTTTACATATGGAAAAGGTTTTAGGAATCAGGTTGTCCTACCCAAATAAAAGCTGAGAAAGAAAACCCAGGTTCTTTTCAGTATATTTTGATGCCACTGACTTTTCTGATTTATCACTTATATCCAAATGAGTTCATTTATTTGTTCAATATACAAGAAAAATCAGAAAATGATTATTCAACTCTATGAGTTTTTCCTTTTTTTTTTTAAACTTTTCTTTGTTGGAAAGCTACAAAATTTGAAGTGACTTTGTTATTATTTATTAAAATATGTACAATTAAAATCCACATATAGCTAGATAGTTGGTATTAAGGTTTTAAAATTAGATTCAACAGCCTCCTTTCTAAAATAAAAACTTAATTTCTATTTATTAAATCCTTTTAAAATAACGACAAGTACCTAAAGGGCCTACAGGCTTATAGGTAAAATGTCCTCGTCTATAAGCATCATCTATTGCTTCAAGAAGAGCTGGAACATTAGGACCAAATCTTTTTAGTCGATCAGTTTTACTATCTTTCAATTCTTTCAATTGTCTCTGGTTATAGTTCAGCATATGCTTCACATCTAATTCTTCTCCCCTGAAAAAACAGCAGAAAAACAAAACAGTAATGGGATACAGTTACATAAAAAAATATTCCACCCTTCCCTGTAATACCTTGTTACCAATAAAGGGCCCAGCTTCCCTAAGAACTAAAAGCAAAAGTCTTTATTCAAAACTAACTGTGTTACAAAAGAAAAACAGAAATTATCAAAACTTGCCATGAATAAAGTGATACAATAGCAATGAATAGTGAACAGGAATTCTACTGGCCACCAGTTTAAGAAGAGCCTTGGAAAACTGATTTTTACAAGGATTCCATATTACATAGAAAAACAAAAAACTTTGTTTTCTCTCTTCATATAAAAAGTAAAACTATATGATGTTCAAGTAATTAAAAAAATCATTCTAGGAATGTTGTACTTACTTAATTCTGTTATGTTCTTCTTTGTCCTTATCTATGGCTTGCTGAAATTGTTCAATCTCTTGATTAACTGAACTTTCTTGATCCTGTAAGGACTTTATTTTCTCTTTTAACCAGATTATTTTTTTTTGTCTTTCCAACCGCTCAGGTTCCAAAGACTGATCAGTGCTATTACCAAATAATTCAAGGTAGAAAATGTTATATGAAAAATCTAATATTTAAAACATCATATAAAGCAACACAACAGAACTCTTTTAACAACAATACAGAAAATACTTCATTTCATCTACATTACTTGATTACAAAATGAGATCATAAAGAAAGCTGAAAAGTAATGATCCTACCTATTTTTTAGTTCTTCGATTCTTTTACAAAGCTGCTCATCATCTTTCTTTAATGCTTTATATTCATTTAGGGAACGGTTATATAAAACCTAACATAAAAATTAGACACACTTTAGTAAATAAGAAAATAGACCATTTGGATCCATTTTTTGCCATTTCTTCAAAAACTGAGGCTGAACATACCCAAAAATACATCTTAAAAATAAAATACATAAATAGCCATTTGAAACCATTATATATTTTTAAGTTTAAAAGCAACACAGATTTCAACCCAATTACAAAACCTGTGCTTATACAACTAGATGAACATTATTTATACTTGACATGAACTTTCTAATATTCTAGTTAAAAAAATTTCTCTCACCTCAGCTTCATTATAGGCCCTTGTTTTAGTGGTAACATCTGCTTTCAATGCCATACATTCTGGTGCACGTGCATTTGTCTCTTGACTAATCTTTTCTAATTTATCTTGAATATCTTTGTACTTTTTTTCTGCTTCATTAAGTCTGACCTTAAAGTAAAAAATAACATTGCTGGAGTATATTCTTTTTTTTCTCAGTAAACCAAAAAAAAAAAAAAGTAGTTATATATAGTTCATATCCCACTAATAAATTTAATTTTGCTTTGACCAAATAAACCCAAGACTTTAGATAAGAAACTTAAGTATGTAAAACACCAAAACAGAATTTAATTTTAACTCTACATTTATTCAACAAGTATGCTATCCTCTGGGGTAAAATATACAGTAACAGTTGTCCTACAGTAACCCAATGAAAAGTAGGTAGCCACAATTTGGCAAAGAAACAGACACATAAACTGTTAAAACAGTAAGAGAACTGCTGAAATAGGGGTTATTCATTTAAAATAATAGAAATACAAAGAAAGAACCCATAGCCGTGACAGAAAAAATCAGGAAAGCCTTCAGAAAGGTATCTGAGCTAAGACTTGAAAAATCAATGGAAGTGTATCAGGAGACAATTACAGAAAACTGTTAAGAGGCAGACTGAAGAGCATGTACAAAGGCATTAATACTTATTTTAGGAATTAAATGTACAGCTCGAGTTTAAACTGAGAAAGGAGTGGTGGGAGATGAGGAGAAAGGGTAAAGGACATTGAATTTAATAATGAATAGATTATAAGTTAAGCCTCTAGGCAATAAGGAGACAGAGTATGATCAATCTACATGTTACATTACTCTGGAAGTACATGGAAGGCAGGGTAGAAGGGCAAAATTAACTAGAGACCAAAATGGGGCATTGACAAAAGAGGTGGATTAGAAGGGACAAATATGATAACTATTTAGAGCAAAGGTCAGCAAACCTTTTTGTGAAGAGTCAAATAGCATATATTTTAGGCTTTGTGTGCTATACAGTCTCTGTTTACAATTATTCAATTCTGCCACAGTAGCATGACAATAGCCAATGACAATATATAGATGAAAATGCATGACTGTTCCAATAAAACTTTATTTAGGAAAACAGGTGGTAGATCACATTTCACCCAACTGCCAATTTCCTGATCCTTGGTTTAATGAATTTGATGACTGAATGGATACAGAAAATAAGGAGGAGAAAGGGATGGTGAAAAGGGAGAGAGTGAAACTTAGGACAACTCCCAGGATCAGGCAATTGGGGAGACAGCAATAACATGCATCAAGATAATTAGTACAATGAAAGAATAAAATCAGTGTTAGACATGCTAAGTCTAAAGTGTGTGGGACATGTAGGTAAAGATGTGAAGACACATATTTGAGTCAAGTGTTCAGGATAAAAGTCTCTATAGGAGATACAGATTTGGGAGCTGCCAATATGCAGGACATTTAGAAAACACCACACAGAATGGTAATAAAGGTTCTATCATTAAAATATCTATAATATAATCAAAAAGTCTTTTATAAAAATTGAAGGCAGGTCAGGTGTTTAAGACATGGTAGAACAGAAACAAAAATAAGATCCTATGATACTCTAGAAATTTATCATTTACTACATAGAACGTTCAAATACTTAAGTGGAACAAAGGCCTGCAAAAGTATCATCCACTCTCAATAGCTTCCTTTTGCCATCTGAGTAAAAGGTGAGCATCTACTTCACTTCTAGAGTGGGATATATCCAAGGAGGAAAATAATTGAAGGCCTTCCTTAGGACAAGCTGAGAAATGAGGCTGAGAAGAGAAAAATACTTGGAATATATTTCAGAATTTTCTCTCAGAAGTGAAAATTTGAAGTAAAGGATTTGGGAGTGGTTGGACTTCTACTTACTATCTAAAGAAAACACAAATAAAGTCGTTTCTACATGGGCTCTTAGACCTCAGGCTGAAACTAACCTTAACAAATTTATCAACTTTATCCTATATATATTCTACCTACACCAAATCATCTGACAGCAAATCGTGGTTCTGGGCCCCAAAACTCAGTTCCCTTAAAGTTCCACTAATAAGCTTTGGGCATAACATTCAGTTGTGATTCCTAACATTAATGCTATTTTAACTATTATCCTAGCACCCTTTATTCCTCAGGTCATTTTGTGTTTCTGTTCCTTAATGAGACCAAAAGTAAAAGCTTCATCTTCTAGAAACTCTGGTCAGTAACAAAGTACCACTGACCATAAATGCATGAATTTTATAAGAGTTCCACATCCCTAGCTTCAGACATGCTTATCACATCCAAATAACAGTATTCTTTTGAAGAGAGAGTTTCTACAACAGTCCTTGGGCAGGTCTGCTTCATGGGAATAACAGATTCAAATACAGAAAACTATATAGGTTCAAACTGCTACCTTTAAATGTCAAAAATAGTCTAACACAAGAATTTCATATGATTCACCCTAATAAAATAATCACACAAAGGGCAATTACTTGTTGATCTTCCATTTTCCTGTCAAGTCTAGCAGCACGCTCTTCTCCAATTTGGATATTATCTCTGATAGCATTCAATTGTTTTTCAATTTCATTGACCTAAAAAGAAATTATATAGCAAATCATTTATAAGACTAACTGTAACCAAATATATTTTATTTCTAGAAATATAAGTGAACAGGTAATTAAGTGAAAATTACCACTGCCCAAGCCATTTCATGTTTCAAATATTCCAATGTAGTCTTCATTGTACTTAAACCAGCAATATTTTGAAAACGTTCCTCTTTCTCCAAACACTGGCGCTTTAGTTCAGTAAGTCGCTTAAAAAAAATAAAAAAGGATGTATTTCTCAATAAAATGACAAGACTGGAAATAAATTTCTTCTGAAAACAATGCCTAAACAAGCACTACAAAAAGATTTAGCAGGGAATGACTCCTTTAAAGCACAAGTAAAAACAATTTCTGTTCTTTAGTTTATTTTCACTAGGTGTAAAAACTTTGTTAATTTCTGCACTGTAAAATTGACCAAGTAGTCTTGATAGGTGCTCCAGTGGCATAGTGCCTAAGACATTTGACTGGTGACCAGAAGGCTGGCAGTTCAAACCTACCAGCCACTCTTCAGAAGGAAGACTAGACAATCAATCTACTTCCGTAGAGATATCACCTTGGAAAACCAAGGAGGGGTCGCTATGAATCGGAAGCGACTCGACAACAGTGAGTTTGACTTTTTGGTTTAAAGATGATCAAAAGAATGAAAGATTCAAGACTACACAAACACATATAAATCTCAAAATTCAAGTTTCCCATTTTCTCTCTTGCTTTCATATCTGATACACCAACTGGTCTGATCTTCTGACAAAGTATACCCAGTATCCTATCCAATTCACTTTCCCATTCTCCAGGATTATATCAATCTATCATCTCAGTGTTCAAACCCCTTACCCCCTGCCAGACTCTTCCCTCAGTCATTCTCTCTGCCTCCTGCTTCAGAGACTTTGCATGCCATCAAACAGAAACTCCCTCCAACTTCTAATATTATCTATGAATCTATGGTACTCATCTCTTTTTCTTGCTATGACAGAAAAAGTAGCCAGGTTACAAATTTGAATTTACCTTACCTTTACTTGTATTCTGTACCCTACCACCATTTGTCAGTTGGTCTAAATTCATTGATCTTCCCATCCCATCTTTTAACTTTTCCCTCATCATTGACTGCCTTCCACTATCTTATTTGAATCTTTACATGATTATCTTTCCCACTTACAAACAAAACCACCACAAACCATCCCCTGCCACCACTTCCTCTTGTAAAATTCTTCTTTCTTTTCAGCCAAGTTTCTTGAAAATTATCTCTATCTTCTCTACTTCCTCACACTTTGCAGCCTCACACATCTATCTGGGTTTTGCTTTCACACCACTACAGAAAACAGTCTTGCCATACAGTCATCTTTGAAGATTAAGTCACTAAATTCAATGAGTACTTGTCAGTTCTTGTGATGTCTGACCTTTCAGTAGTTCTGACTGTTGTAACCACTTCCTTGTCCAATTCCTTCTTGCTTTGGCTTCCATGAGTGTTTTTTTATTTTTATTGTGATTTGGGTGAAAGTTTACAAAGTCATTTTGCATACAGCAGTTCATACACATTTGTCTCATGACATTGACTGCAATTTCCTACAATGTAACAGCTCTCTTCCCATTTCCTCCCCATAGTTTCCACTTCCCTGTGTCCTTCCTTCCCATGCACTCCTGCCTCCCAAGCCATCTCCCTGTGCTTACACTGCCCTTCTGTTCTCCCTTGATTAATCTTTCCAAGGGATATATCTACCTGACGTAAATCTTCAGCCCATATGCCTGTCTTTTATTTGGCTGGAAGCCACAGGAGTAAGTTCAATTTCAGACCTGAAGGGGCCATAGTCTCAGGGGTTTCACCAGGCTGTATCAGACCAGCGAACCTGGTCTTTGTTTTTTTAATGATTTTTTGAGTTTTGTTCCACTTAGTTTTCCCACTCTATACAGATCCCCCTCCAAGTGGTTGACAGTGGTAGCCAGGCACCATCACGTTCCTCTGGTCTCATTCTATGAGCATTCTTATGGTTCAGGTCTGGGTCACTTTCCGTCTCCTCCTAGGTGATATCAGTCATCCCCACAGCTTACATATCAACAATACATTGAAGACTTCCAACTTTTTATTAATAAACTCATCCTTGTTTTCTGAGTTTTCACATAATGAATCACACATCTACAGACTTAATTTTAGAATTCACATTCCTCAAAAACTGTAAAAAGATCAATGTAGCATGTGATAAATTTGACTAGAGTTAATATAAAGCTAGGTCAAGAAGTTGCTGAAAACTCAAATAGCTATAAGATACTTTCCTGTCCTCCATGAATTTATTGTCTAATAGAGGAAGTAAGATGTGGACAACCATTAGTAAAAACAAAATAGTAAAGATTAATAAACACTCTCAAGAGAAAAAAAAAATTACTAGTCTATATACATGAAATAAATACTACATATGCATAAACTAATAAATGTATTTATATGTACATATGTACAACTTTATAATTTAACTAAGTACCATAAGAATTTGGTTAATCCCAAAGATTTACATTAAGTATTTACAAACCTCTTCTCCTTGATTTATCTGCTCCTTTGTTCTGTCTTTTGTTTCCATAATATATGAGTAATCTTCCTTCATCTGTTCAAGTTGGGTTGCTTTCA